CCAAAAAAAAAGAAAAAGAAAAAAGAGAAAGCATTTAATTGGGAATTATGACATTCTCAATTTTCCAAAATAGTACAGTATCAATAGATATAACTAAAATAAAATAAAAAATGCGAACCCTTTGTGCTGTAATGGTGAAAAGATGGAAAGGAAGAAAGAGGGTCTTTCTCAGAAAGAGCAGCTTTGATTATCTCTTGCACTTTCTTCTTCTTTTCCAGTATCTGCCTTCATAAAACAAAAAAGAGTATGTTGAACTGTTAATAAACTGCTTTGTATTTTTTAGGTTTTCAAAAATTGATGTGTTTGGGAAAAATGGGCAGACGTTGATCCAAGTTACCTCTTTTCTCGTCATCTTCTTGTCTCTGTTATTTTCGGCTTTCTTGCTGGACGCAACCCTCTTCTCAGCTTCCATTGCTGCGTGCAAGAGGATCCTCTGAAGCCTCTTCTTGGAAAGTTATACATTTTTTGTACCCACGATTTTAGTAAGTGGCATCACTGCCTCAGCCTGCACCCCATAGTTCTTGAAAATTCTGAATAGGCCCTTAAAGTTTGAAAGACAACAAATTTTTTTAATAAAATTTTACGACTTTAGGTCGCGCCTTCCTTTTATATTAATCCCAGCAAAAAGAGCACATAACATAGGGGGACTTCACCTGACCTTTGTTCATTACATCCAAAAGACCATACTTATAACTGCTAATAGAACAAATACAAGGATAGAGTAGCTTTCTTACCAATATTATGTAAGGAAGTCTAACTATGTATGAAAGGAGTTCTCAAAAAGTGCTTATGCAGAAAATTACATAGATTCAGTAACAGAGTTCCTTCTTCCCTTGTGACTAAATGTAGCCATTTGTATAATTGTATCTTGTCCATCATATATGGGCTTGTAGCTTGATTGGGAAGATCTTTCCAGTTATAAAAGATAGAATTCCCATGAACGATGCTCCATTTAACCAATGCATCTACTACTTGATTAGCTTCACGATCACTACTCCTTCTACAGTTGGGAGGTTATTTGGATTGATATGGTGAGATTGCTTCCAATTTTATCCTTGAAGAATATAAAGGTGGACAATATAAAAAGGAGAGTAATGAATTCACTTGGATTAATAGGTCTATCACAACTATTATGTTCCAAAATATTTGTCAATTTTTGCTCCGTCAAATTAAATTAACTTTGACTAACATGATAAAATGTATTCCTTCATTGTTATTACTAATGATTTCAATCGTTTATATATCGTTTTAAATTCTTTCATAAGTCAAGGGTCTACCGGAAACAACCTATCTATCTTTTTGAAGGTAGGGGTAAGGTCTGCATACATACTATCCTCTCCAGACCCTACTTGTGGGATTACACAAGATCTGTTGTTATTGTTGTTGTTGCTTTAAATATATTTGTTTCATTAACATTTTAAAATGTATGTTTTTCTCATCTCTCCTATGATATGCTCCCTCGTATGTATTTGATCAATTCATCTTGATCAGCTGATGCATGAATTCTATAGTTGTTGGCTTTTTTGGATAAATAATCATTCCCTTTCCGAAATATGGCTTTGTGATGACTGAGAAGGTAATTCGAAATTCTTCGCATAAGATTGATTTGGGCGAGTGATAAATCTTTGGGACACTTTGGAGCCCTGAGGCTAGTTTGGTACGAGGGATAATGAATAATTAATTCCGAAATTAAATTTAAGAAGAGCTTATTCTAAATGATAGAAAATTGCAATATAATTAATCTCGGGATTGTAATGTTTTTTTATCCCCATTAAAAGATAGAATAACTAATCCTAGAATAACTTCTTTCCAACCAAACGACCCTTAGAAGTTAATGAATCCTTGCAAGTGGTGCATTTACTTTAAAATCCCTATTCTTGTAGTGATACGAGTGTTACTAAATCTTGTTAACATAAATAAGGAAACCTTTCCTAGACGCTGAACCAAGAGCAATGAAAAGAAAAGCAACAACTATTCGCTATTCTCTGCTGCTCTTGGGTTTGCTTGTCTCTTGTAGCCAATTTTCTCAATCTAGCTTATCATCACAAAGCTGCAGGGCCCATTTGAAAAATTAACATTCGCAGAACGTTTGTTTTGTATTCACTAGGTGGAATAGCATTTGTAACCCTGCATATTAATCTCTAATCCCTCAAATCCTATCATCAGTTATCGCAGTTCCTGCAGCCTCACAATCTCAGCAACACAAATAAATCATAGCCTATAGTTGTTCCTTTATCAGCCTTGTTGAAGACTCGGAGCCCGTTTTGATAGAAAACCATCATGAGGCTTCAATATCACTAGTATGCATAAGAATCTATGTCCTAATAAAGTATTCAAAGATTTCTTAGCATAAAAACGATATCTTAATTTCTGATGAATGTTTAACATCAAACGTAACCAAAGAAAGATATCCAATATTTTGTTAGGCCGCGCCTTTGACACCTCAACTAAAACAAATTCATAAATTTAGAAGACAAGCACCATATTCAGACAGAATCCAAATCAAACAAGTCTAAGCTCCAGGAATCTCAGGTTCTGCCTCAGCAACGGTCTCATCAGCTGGTCGATCCAACTTCACGCCAACATCTTCTGAATAGTCACCATGAACCTGTAAAAAGAAGAGTCTCATTGTTAGGTTAAAAAAAAGATGTTACTTGAATAATCTAATTGTAAATTTTGAACTATCCACGCATGGCGGCCAATGTCATGAACGGAAACAGAAAACAAAAGGGAACTTACCTCCATCAGCTTGCCAATATCAAATTTTGGGGCCTTGAGGATCTTCACTTTGCGAATATAAACATTTTGCAGTGGGAAGATGCTTGAAGTCGCTTTCTCAATCTCTCTACCAATTGACTCAGGGATGAATTTTGCGACCAACTCCTTCAAGTCACAGGAACTTGCTTGGTTTCTCATGATCTCAACCATTTTCCGACGGATCTAACACAATAAGACAAACATGTCAATAAGTAACTGAAAGTGAACTTGCGAGATAATATTAAATAAGTGACCTAAACTAGAAGTACCACAAACCTGACGGATCTGGCTGCTCTGAGCATAACATGTCCGCTTCTGCTGGTTTGGACGTTTCTTTGTAAAAGCAATGCAGAACATCCTGAGAGTGTAGCTATCTGTAGTTTTGACATCCACATGAGCCTCAATCAATGTCTGCCACTTCTTTACCAGAGACCTCAACTTGTCTGTTGTGAAATCCATTCCCTGAAGTTACTCAACAGCAAGGTTAAAATTCAGTCCATAAAAGAAAAAGGCTATTCTACAGTCATGAAGAAATGATCGTCTAAAACGGATCTCATCTTACCCAGAAGTTTGTGAGGACATTCTTCCCTTGCACATCTTCTGCCCTCAAGCGGATCTTCCTGAAAGATTGATCCTCATCCTTCTGAAGATCAGCCAAACTGACTTCAAATACTCTGTGCTTTAGTCCTTCCGAAGCAATCTGGAGGCACAAGGGGATAAATGCACTTGTTTAAGTGAAACTGCACTTGCATTCATATATATATATGAAATGAAAAGTTCCACCATAACATAGAATGATCAGACCATAATCGGCAAAACACATACTTTATGAAGAGGGGGTTTCAGGAGTTAAAAGTCATCCAAACAATCTAGACTACAAACTACCTGGAACAGTTAAAATACAGTTTAACCAAATCAAAGGTGAAGGGACGAAAAATTAGCATCCCACAAATCTATGTTCTATAGCAAACTACTACTATGCTTATGCCTCATTTTCAAAATAGTTGGCATGCGAGTATATTATATAAACCATCAATATCATCATTTGGAGCCTCAAAATGGTCAAAGCCAATGGTCTTTTGACGCTTTAAGCATAAGGAGCAATTAACACGTGGGGGTGCATAATAGTATAAAGACAAACAACAATTATGTTGACAAAGGCATTAAAAACTACTGCAATTTATGAAGTAAAAAACTCATATTAATCAAGATTAACAGCCATACTAAAGTTCCACTGAATGAAAGAAAAACAGTTCTAGGTTTCTAGTACATATTCAGTGACTTGTTTTGAAACTTCTAATTTCTCATTCCTAATCACCTATATACTCATTAATAATGCTTTCTTAACAATCAATACATAGAATTCTCAACTACATTTTGTCTAATGTGCCACTCTTCAAGATATATACGCTCTAAGGGGCCTATAATGCAGCCTCCTTATGCAAGCTGAAGAACCCGCCGTGTCCTATGCTAAGCTTCATGGACTGAGCCTTAAGGCACCTTTAATGACTCACTGATTTGGACACTGTTTCCTTCCAATACTGCGTCCTAACACATTCAACAGAGGACTCATCATAAATTGACTAGTTTTAGCTGATAATGAACCGACCACAGCCCTCTTCCTTTATTATTTTTTTAGGAACAACCCTCTACTTTTATACAAATGTAGCTCATATAGATGGAAGGGACTAAAGAATTATTTAAACGTTCATTATGACTTTTATGAAGAGAATCACTAAACATCTAAATGTGTAGCAACTTCATTTATATGTCCCCAACATTTGGAAGGTCAAGGTGTAGATATCGCCCACATTTCACAACCAAATTACACCAGTTTGCAGCCTAGAACTCCACTCAAGTCTGTTTTATATTAATTAATCACATTCCTAGATATATAATCATCCTTGTACGTCATAATTACAAAAAAAAATACCCAATGTGATCTCACGAATGGGGTCTAGAGAGGGTGGGGTGTACGCATACCTCACCGCTACCTTGTGTGAAGTAGAGAGGTTATTTTCGATATGCCCCAATTCAAGAAAAGCATTTTCAAATCAGGTTTGAAAAATACAAGAGTAAAGAAAAAACTAAGATGAAAGTACTGAAGAAGAAAAAAATAGCCATCAAAAATAGTAAAGATAACCAAAGCAAAAGAAACAATAGTAATAAAATTGAAGAATAAGATAATAATAGAATAATAATAATAACAATAAGGCAAAAAGGGAGCAGATAAATGCTGTAAACTAGATCCATGCTTTCCCACAAAAAAGAGATAAATCGCTCGACTACCTACTAACTTTCTACCCTAAACCTCGACCTCCATGCTCTCCTCATGTCCTATCTAATCACATCTCCCTATTCTTCCTTGGTCTACCTCTGCATCTACTTAGACCTATCATTGTCAACCCCTCGTACCTCCTCATTGGGGCATCTGCTCCTCCTCTTCACGTGCCCGAACTATTGTACTTACTCCCACCTTTATATCTTCGTTCTTAATGTTATCTCTCCTAGTATTCTCACATATGCATCTAAAGAAATTTTAAAAAAAAAGCTCCTAAAACGGGTAGAGAGATGAACTAGTCCAGAACTACTATAAGTGATAACCAAAATAATCCAAAACCAAAAGCAACAGGCATAAGCTTAACAGAATAACATAAGAGAAAAAAGGAGTAGAAAATGAGGAAGAGAATAAGACCTTAGTACCCTGAGTCCTAGTGACCAGGGTCTTGCCAACGTTCTTGATATCAAATACTGATGGTGCCTTTATGTCATACCAGTCCTTCTTTGCGTACGGATCC